ATAAAAATGATACTAAGAATACTTTACATTATGGTAAAGATAAAGAAATCTCAGTATATAATATAAGAAATGCTCTGTAGAAATGACTGTAAGTGTTTTCATAATCATTAGATTTATTAATGCTGGTCAAAATGATCAATATGATAGATCGATCCTTTAAAGCTAATGAATAATTTTGTATTTAATAGATATTTTAATGTTTATACTATATGTATATCTGATCATATGCATCATGCAGATCTTGGGTTTTTCAGTATCAATTAAGATTCACAGTCGAATTGTTGAATTCCAAGTATAATAACAGTTTAATAAGAACTCTTGAGGAACGCTTTTCTCAAATTTCCTGTTATTTGAATTTAAAGATTTTCAAAAATGGATTTGAAAGGTTTATATGATTAACTGCAGCTGAGTATCGTGACTTGATGAAGGTTATATTATTTGTATTGGATGATTTAATATCAGATAAGAAGCTTAATAAAAATCTATGCGAATTGTATTCATTATGGATTGATATGTATATATAGAGCTGTCAACCCAGATATACTGAAGTGGATTTTCATGAATTTGAGGTAAGTTTATTAATAATAAGTAATTTAATGATTTAATTATAAAGATATAATATAACTAATTTTTTAATAATAGAAATCAATAATTATATGGTATGACTTATTTATGTTAAAGTTCTCACCATCTAATCTAAATTTACTGAAGTTACACAGTTAGCGATATCATTTAATATCATCAATTCGTCAATTCAAAGCTATCAATAGATTTACAAGTGAAACATATGAATTATTGCATAAAATTAATGTTAAACAGTCATATCGCATGACAAATAAGTGTCATATAAATATACAAATGCAATCAACTGTAAGTATTATTTTTTGGTATTATATTACTCTAATTATATTTAATAATATTTTTTTTAAGATACGTCATCAAAATATCTTTATGTCTCTGTTAAAGATTCAATTATGATCATATAAGAAGGTTTATAATGGAATTACATCAAAAAAAAGTTATTGAAAAAATGACACAATATACAATTAATCGAATCATAAATTAACTGGCAAATGTACAAAATCTAAACAAGTTATGGATATGTAATTTCAAACAACTTAAATCTTGTATTTATGATTATCTTCAAAATGTCAAAAATTGGTCATTACAAGATATTAACAATGAAATGATTCAAATTGAAGTATTTGAGTTTGCATACTTAGATAATAATAATAGAGTGGTTATTCGTGCATCTCCTAATTATAATAAACAAGTAGCCTTCTCCAATGTTTGTGTTGAAATGGATAAATCATAATAAGATGATTATTTAACAGATAATGGCTTATGTTATACAATTATTATAGTATTTACTTTTTATTATTTTTTAGGTTCTTCTTATTCTTCGAGTTTCTTCAACAAAATTGAAGCAGGATTTTGAACTTGCATTTGTTTACTAATACAATTTTGCATATCTGACTAATAAACAATATCATTATTTTTACAAGTGTGCAATTTTTAAACATGTCGAGCATTATATTTTAATTCTTATTGCTTTAATTGCAAATATAATACATATTATACCAAAATTTACCGAACCAGAAATCTTTTATGTAAATAAATATATTGAATATTACTAAATAAATTCTTGATAATAAAATACATTTTAAATAGTAAATTTGAATACTTAATTAATATTCTTTTTATAGTAATTAATAAATATTAAATTTAAGCATTTTTTAAGTAATTTTTTAAATAGTAATTGTAAAGCATTTATATTTACTATTTTATTTATATTATATTACAACAATAAATAAATGCTTACTTTAAATACAAATAAGCATATAAAGAATATTAATTATTCAATAAATACAAATTTAAATGCTTATAATTAATTGTTGTTTAATAAGCATAAGATAAACATTTGATTAACTTTGTGATATAATGTCTTGTAAGTATTTTATAACAAAACTTATAGTATAATGCAATATTGCAATATTTATATTATTATTTTTTTTAAATAAAATTTCATTTAATGATATTTTTTATAAAAGAGATATTTGAAAAAATCCCACTTTGAAATAAAACTTGTTAAGTCACAAAGTGAAGGGACGTATATAACTGATATAATAGTTCCATTAATTTGAGCATCGTTAAAAGATCTTCCTATTAGAAAATCTGGTTATATTTCTACAGCAGAATGTCAAAGTATAGCTAGTAAAGATCGAAGAAGAGTTAGAAAATGACCAGATATTATGTTTATTACTAGTTTTCATAATAGGACATATGAATTATCTAAAATGATCCAGTATATAGAAGAAAATGATCACTTGAAAAGATTTAATATATTAAGAGTATTAGCCTAATTTGTCTGTTGAAATTTTTTCTTTTAATAAAAATTTTATTAATAAGATTATTATTGAAAGATATGAACATATCCTATAGGATAGTAGAAAGGTATTTGATTAAAATTAGATATTAAAAAGACCTTTTAAGAGTAATACTAATACTTATTATAAACTATAAGTATAAATAGGTAGAATAAATTTAAAGCTATTTTAATAATAATGAAATAATACTTTATTTTTAGATGAAACTACTTTCTAACTGTTCTAGAATACCATAGAGTATTAACATAAAGATAATAACTGATATACTTAAAAATTGAATAAAATCTTTAAATAGAAAGATTTTATATAAAGAAAAAATAAGTTTATATTATTTTTCTCAAATAATAAATGCTGAATTTTATATAAATAAACTTAGTAAATACCTTTTAAAGATTAAAGGTTTGTTAAAAAATAAATGACATTTTCAGCAAGACAATAATCAAAAATACATTAATAAACATGCTAAAAAATTTTTTCAGAAAAATTTTTCTAAAGTTATGACTGGTCTTTTAATAATCTGAACCTAAATCTGATAAAAAATTTTTAAAGTATTATTAAAAAAAATATAGAGAAAAAAATGCTAAACTATATTGATGATTTGTGCTAATTTATAATCAAAAAATAAGATAATATTTAAAATCAATTTTAATTAAATTAATAAGATCAATGAAATTATAAACTTATTATAGAAAATAATAATAAATTAAACTAGTTTTAAATTCAAAATATTTTAAATTTTATGTAGTTTATGTCATTAGTTTTTGTTGATATGCTTTTAAAAAAATCCTGTTTAATTTTAATATTATAAAATTAATTAAAAAATTTAATTTTTTATAATACCTGCTTCTTTTTCTATTGCTTTAGCAATTTTTTCAATTAAAGTAATTATACTAGTATATTGAATACCACATTCACTTAAATTAAGTTTAGTTGTACTATGTATAACTTGCATTAACTAATACCATATTAAATTTAATATCATTTTAATAGCAACATCATATTCAGGATAAATAAAATACCCTTCTTTAACTACACTAATTTCATAATCAAATTCTATTACAAATTCTAATCTATTTTTATCTTGATATCTTGCAGCTTTATAGTTTTCTGCATAAAATACTGCACCTATTTTCTATTCATTATTTAAATTTACTTTTTGTTTAAATGTTTCATATAATAATACTGACCATAATACATGATCTTTAGCATTTTTATATAACTATTTTTCAAAACTATCTCTATCTTTATCATATATTTTTTGAATTTTTAAATCAAGATTTTTATTTTTATATACATATGAATTAGTGGTTAATGGATTTAAAAAATTTGCACGAAGATCATGACTAATTAATTTTTCTGAATCAGCTGTTCATGATTAATTTTAAAATGTGAATTGCAGGTAAATTTCATTTTAATTTCAAAATGATTTGCAACATTTTTTTTACAATATTATGCTTACTCTTCCAATAATTTTATCATCATATTTTAACAGAATAGATTGACTTTTATTAATAATAATAAAGTCTTTTTCTTTTTCAATAACTTCACAAGTAATAAATTTATGAAGATATTTTTCAGTTAAATCTAATTTATGATTTACATTCAAATTATATATTATTTTATAATTTTATCAAAATCTTTAGAAAAAACTTTGATTTGATTTTATCAACTTAAAAATAAATCTTTACAAAAATCTTTATTTTGATTTTTAGTTATATATTGATTAAAAGCAGATACAGAATTCTATTAAAATTAATAATAAATAAAATAAATATATAATTAATTAATTTTTTAAAATATAAAAATTTATTGATTCTAATAAAACCTAAGTTAGCATATGCTAAAAGCATATATAGGAGAAAATATATAACCCTAAAGCCATATAGATATAAAATTATATTATATATTATGTGATTTATAATTTAATCTTAATAGTAACTGATCCATATATTCAAAAGTATATTCCTATAACTTAAAAAATTAAACATACTTGTTTTTCGCATCTTAGCATTAATTTTTCACAAATTGGAGATTTGATGATGAGCTCTTGTTCAATTATTTTACTTAAAGGATTAAAGGATTGTAATTACTTATTAAATCAATAACTTAGTTGCTAATCAACTATGCTTTAAATCTATTTGGTTTCTCAAACAAAACTATATGATATTCATGATTAAATTCATTTAAAATTTTACAAATTTTTTCTAATAATTCTTTAAAGAAAGACATTGTGAAAGTTTGAATAAAAGAAAAATAGATGGTTAAAAAAATACAATTTTTATATAAAAAAATTAAGAAATTTTTTTTTAAAAAAAAAAATGAAAAAAGAAAATGAATTATATATATAATTAATTATTATTATGCCAATTTTAAAAATGAATATATCTGTTAAACAAATAAAAATACTTATTAATTATTGATTATTTAAATAATTAAAACTAATATAAAAGATAATAAAGACAATAATACATAATTTTTTTTTGGTTTTATAAAATCCAGTATAATATCTAAAAAAATACAATTAATTATTAATTATAATTATTTTGAAATTAGAATTCAAATAAATCAAATAATAATCTTTTTTAAATAATATACTCTACCACTGATACCTTTTTATTTTCCTTTTGACTCGCCTTTTGGTAATTTCTTGAAAAGAAATGAATAGTTTTCAATAGGTTGAATAGGTTTAATTATTTGATCACTATTGTTACTTGATGTGTCAACTTCTATTGGATCATTCAAAGGATTTACCAATATATCTTGACTTGGATTATTGAGAAAACCTCGATTTAGAACTATATTTTTGATAATTCCTCTCGGTCTAATATTCTTTCTTAAATTATGTTTTTTTTCTGTACGTGGATCAACCAAGCAACCTTTGCATTTATCACAATAATAATGTACTTTCTTCAATTTACTTTTATTGGTATCAACTGATAGATTATTGGATTTTTTTACAAAAGATTTTTTTATTTTTTGATATATTTTTGGCATTGTAGTTAATAATTTCTTTTTTTTAATTTTATTTTTATGTGATGATAATAAATTTATATTTACTGTTGTACAAAAATTAAATATATATGTATACAAAATAGTATATTTAGTATAAAGTTTAATTGATATCAATTTGTAATCAATACGAAACTTTAATAGACGTCTAAATAAGGCAATTAAATTGTAGTCTAAATATAGTTTAATTTATGAATATATAAATTGATTGATTTTTTGATTTTTCTAACTTTGATAAAT